TCATAAAAAGAGACACTTTGGTTTGGATGTTTTGATCAAAACCCTGGGTTTGATGTGTTTAAATCCTAGAAGACACATTCCCGGGGCAGAGCAGCTCCCTGATGGTTCTGCTGCTTCCAGGGGAACCTCTTCCCACAGATTTACCCAAAAGCACAAAAATAAATGGAATGAATGAAAAAAAAGCCAGGGCTGTGCCTGGAAGCAGCGTTTCCCCGGCGGGGAGTGAAGCCGGCGCTGACTCGGGTTTGTTTTCACCCTCAGCCCCAGAAGCCGAGGGGGCAGGAGGTGGCACAGGGCTCCCCCCCCCCCAATCACAGCAACAAACTTAACGAACTCCTGGAGACTCGGTGCAATTAAAACCTGTGATTAAGTCAGAGGCACAGGCTCCTCCACCTCACCCTTCTCCCAGCGCTGTCAAAACCCGTTTGTAGCACGTTTCCCAGATATTAATTTAATTCCCCTATTTGTAAAGCCCATTATGTCAATCAGAGAAAATGATACCACCACCACCCCCCAGACAGTGACCCCCAGGGGGTTCTGTGGGTGAGAAGCAGAAATTAAAGAAAAACCAAGACACTTTGGGAAAGCCCGGGCTGACCCAGTGGAATGGGTTTCCCCACTCCCTCCGCCGCACGCCTGGCTGTGGTGGCACCAGGACATGAAAAGAGATTTTACAGGGAAAGGGGAAAAAAAAACCATAAAAGAGAGATCTAGAGGCATGAAAAGCACCAAAGACTTCACACCGTGAAGTTTTATTACAGCATCTCAAAGCGCGTTACAGAAACCAGTGCTGGAAGATGGGGGGACAGAGGGAAGGGAGCAGTGGCAGCACAAGGCGACACTGGAACAGATGCAGGAGGTGACAACTGGGACCAGCAGAGCACCCTCCGTGGTGCCCCTGGGTGTAGGAAGCCAAAACAAGAGGAAGAACTTCAGGACGGCTCCATTCCCTTCCGTTTTCCAGGAGAAAGGAGAAGGTGGCCTTTCTGCTCCAGAGGTACGAGTCCCACCGGGTCGTTAAGGAGCTTTGCAGGGAGGTGACAAGGTCCACAAATCCCAGGGTGGAGAATGGCCCTCAGAGTTCAGTGCCCCCCCGTGCTCCCCCCAGCCTTTTTTGGGGGGTGTGATGTTCCCTCCGGCCTGGAACCGCTCTGAGACAACCTCCCAAACAATCCCCACCCGTGGGGCTCAGCCGAAGCACCATCCTCTCCCTCTGCCAGCACCGAGCCCCCCCACACCTCTGACACCCCACCTTCAACCCATCAGGCTCAACCACCCCTTAAATTAGTGCTCCAGCACTTTAATTAGCTCCTTATGAACTTGTTCAGAACCACTGGCCCTGCCTGGGCTCCCCATTCTCCAACTCCAGAGGGTGGTCCATCACCCCTTCCTCTCCCTCAGTCCTGGGCTCCTCTGCTCTTCCTCTCCCGTGAAGTTTTCTCTCTCCCCAGCCCCTGTGCAGCCAGAAATCCATCCCCTCCCACCCTCTCCCCATCCCCAATCCACCCCCTACCCATCCTCTCCAAACACCACTCCGGGGAAACCAAACTCTTCAGATTTCCTTTTGGAAAACATTCTGTCTCCTGGAGCACACTCAAAACCTTCTCTTTCAACTGCTCCCCCTTCACCTTTCTCCAACGTGGGTGACAGAACCCATTCGTGCCCCAGAAGGGTTTGGGGTGGGGTTTTTTTTTGGGGGGGTCAAACTTCTGCTTTTCCTCAGCATCACCCCCCTACGTGCCACCACGCACACCCTGGCCCACAAACTTCTCCACAAGAGCCACCCCCAACTTCTCCTCCAGCCCTTCTCTTCCCCTCCGCCATCAGCCCGGGGACACTCCAACACCTGAGTCTGTTCCAACAGCTTCTGCCTCCACAAACACAGGGCTTTGCTACCAGAATTCTACTTTTTTTTTCCCCAAAAATTACAAAATCTCACACGCACATCTTTGGCAATTCTGCAGGGAACAGCACCCTGTCACCAATCACCCTCTGTCACTGCACACAGTGCCCTTCACAGCGTGCCACGCTCAACCCCCAAATCTCCTAATCCTGCCCCAAACCCCCATCCCACCTCCCCACAAATGAGCCCCCCCTGCCCCACTCCACAGGGGCCATTCCCAGGCAGGGAGCAGCCCCCAGCCCCCCCCCATTAACCCCAGTGCCCCATTTAAACACTAACCCCAGCAATCCCCGGGAC